AATTTTCACTGTGACAGGAACCATCAACTGACTCTCATCATGGGGATTATCTAGAAATTTTAAAATACTATTTTTTTTTCTGAATAAAGTTGCATTTTTAGTACACTAGTGATTTTTTAGTAGCTAGACTTCCTTGGAATAGCCTACTGAATCAATATCTGTATTGTTAACAAATACCTGTGATCACTAAATTCTCACTTATAGGATCTAATGTGAAGGGCTTGGGCCCTTTAGAGAGACTCTGCAACTGTAAAAATTGGTTAGGTGCCAAGTAGATCTCAAAATGGGATTATTTTCCCAAGTAAATATTTGCCAGCAACAAGTTAATGGTAAAGGTACCTCCCACCACCACCACCTATTTGTACTTTTGTCTTATTCTAAGGCTGGTGCAATGTAGGGACTGGGGCATTTTTGTAAATGATAGTCCCCGTACCCAGGTTCTTTACTGTCCAGATCATTGTAGATTATTTGTAAGACTTCATGCTTTGTCTTGATATTTTCTCTCCTTTCCTCCTACCCCATCTTTCTCCTTTTACACTCTTTGTTGCAGTGATGAGTTTCTTCCAGAGGAAAAACAAGAAATCCAGAAAAGGTAGAGTACTTCAATGGCCAATCAGTTTTTCTTCTCCAGTTTGACATTTACCAATCCCCATGTTCATTTGAATTAAGATTCTGTTTTGTTAGCTGCCTCCTGGATTGTAATTCTGGTTCCCGTCAAAGGCCAGGATCACCAGACATCTGAAAAATAATCATGTTCACCCTGAGAGCAAGGGAAGAAAGAGATTTTTTCTCAGAAAAAAGGAAATCCAGACAACCAACACTGCAGAGAACAGAGCCTGAGCCCCTAAGCAACCTGCCAAGAGAACCAGAGGGACCAAATGAGGAACCTTACTGCAGTTTATCATTTGAAATGCTTTGTAGGAAGAGGGAGGTAGGGAAAATTATCATTTTGTTCATGCTGAAAAAATGTTCTGTTCTATCTCTGGGAATGAGAGTACTTGAGGAATACTCTGGGAATGAATGAGTACAGGAGTAATGAATTTACTACAGCATCTAGCAGTTTTAATAGGTGCTTGCAGAGGGTCCAGGTCCTTAATGCATTGCAGAAAGGTGTATAACCTTCCAGACCTAAAATGAAAAAGAGATGGGTCTTTCCCCATCTCTGCACGTTCCTTAGAGTTTAGTATGTTTTCAGACAGTGCCCTCTCCTGGTTAGCACATGTAAATTCTATATCATTTTTTGATTCAGTATTCTATAGTCCTGGATTTTGTATCTTAACACATCCGAAGATGAAAGCCTTCAAAAATCTCTGATTTACTTCTATCTAAATTCCCAGATTCCACCCTGTGTGAACTAATAATTAGCCTGAAAGATTGAAAATGATTCCTCTGGAAGTGACCACCTCATGATTTTCCCCTTAGCTGCCCTAAGACTCTGAGAAATAAGCAAACTGTTTATTATCTAAGGGTCATCATCTTTAGCTTTTCTTTTGTGCACATTAACGTGCAGCATGGTGCTCTCCAGTGACTAATAGATAACTTTGACCACCTCAGAAGCAGGAGGAGCACATATATGGAGAGCGACGTTAGAGCCAGGAGACGTCATGCTCTGTCCATGTCTTCAAATAATTAGGTGTGCTCCAGAAAGCTTGGAGGGTACTTTCCTTTGTTTTCTTGGAAAACATAGTATGAAGGATGTAAGCTATACCTGATATTCCTACCTGCTTACTAGAAATGTGAATAGTGCATCTTTGGAATAGGGCTTTTGCCAGTTGCTCTTCCAGAAAGAATCATACTATATAGCGCCAAAAAGAAATTTGATGGCCAGACTTATTAATAATCCTTTGGACAAACTTCATTCTATAGTTAAAGAACTATGGATCCCCGTGAAGGGTCTCTTCACTCCCTTTCTGACTTCCCAAATCAGCGAGGTACCTCAAACCAGGGAAATAAAAATGCCTGCTTTGGGCATTGCTACCCAGGTACTCACTTGCCCTCAAACTGGAGATGAACATGGGTGGAATCTAGGATTTTGGAAGCAAACAATGCCACTTAGCTAAGAGCATTCTCAAGCTCAGTGACATTTAGGTCTCAGACATACTTTAGCCCTTGACATGAGACTGGTCTGCTATATGGTATGTTCCCTGGGCCAACTTGCTTACTTCTTCAAGTCCAGGCCCAGCATCTTTGTACTGTCCTTTGCAGTGCTGAGAATGTTACACTTCCAAAACTTTTTACGGAAGTTTATCAAAATACCTAGAAATAAGTAGATTGCCTTCTCCTTCCAAACATTATACAGGTATTTCTCTAAAAATTGTAAATTTGCATTAAATATTGGCTTAGTTTCCCCTTTCCTGCCTTTCTTGTCCCCTCTAAAAGCTTAATGTGATAAACTGCAGTAAGTCTTCATCCTCCTATGTCTTTTCCCATCTTCATTGATCTCTCTGCCTTTCCTAGAAGGTCACTCAGATGACTCAGGCACTGTTCTCTGCAGAGTTTGATATCTGGGTTTGTTTTTCTGATGTGAGCCTTTCTTTTCACTTGCTCTCCAGGTGAGCCTGGCATTTGCTAGGAATCAGAGTGGAACCGGCAAAGTGGCCAGCAACAGAGTCCTGATCCAAATGGAGAAAGGGAACCAGGCGTACCTCAACCTGGAGTGGGAAACTTGATAGGAGGTCAGAAGTACTTCAGCTTTGGATTCTCATTTTCCTTATTTAAGGAACTAAGCGCCAGAAGGTAGAGACTGAGAAAGGGGAGAGAGAAAATATAAGATCTTTAGTGTACAGATTTCAGTTGTAGACTTATTTAGCAAGTTCTGGACAGTGAAAAATATTAGTGGAATTACAATTTATAAGCAGTTATAGCTGCATGATAGGTTGTTTTCCTTGTATGATGCCATTCTTGGAATATAGTTTAAAACAATGAAAAGAAAATGAAGACTAAAGTTATTCTGGCCATCATTTGTTTCTTTACGTGATACCATTTCTTACATTTTTTTTCTTCAGGTTACTGATTTTCTCTTGAGTTGCATGGTTACTTAAAGTACTTTTTTGACCAGTTTCTATCATAACCTTATAAATTTGTGTTTGCCATCTATTCTGGGCTTTCCCATTTCAAAACTCTCTTTCATATTAAATTATAATCTAAGTGCGCCACTTGGGAGCGCGGTGGCGCTCCCGCCGAGGGTTCGGATTCCACATACAGACTGGTTCCCGTTCACTGGCTGAGCGAGGTGTGGGAGCAACACCAAGGGTTGCGATCCCGTTGCTGGTCCCGGTCCGGTACGGGCGCGACACTGAGGGTTGCGATCCATTGCCGGACACGAAAAAAAAAAAGACAAAAAGGAAAAAAAATAAAATAAAATAAATTATAATCTAGCACCCAAGGCTGAAACATTTAAAACAAAAACAAAAACAAAAAAGACTGCAAATCTCAGTGAAATATAGGTTAAAGTACAGTCTGTGATAAAAGGGAAATGATGTAGTTCAGAGTACATTTGGTTTTTTAAAATTTACATGTTAAACACATTTGATAATTGCTTCTTCTAACATAAATGCGGGCCTGTACTCATGAGGAGATTTCTCTCTCTCACTCCCTCTCTTTCATACAAGGGTTGCGATCCGTTGCCGGACACGAAAAAAAAAAAGACAAAAAGGAAAAAAAAAAAAATAAAATAAATTATAATCTAGCACCCAAGGCTGAAACATTTAAAACAAAAACAAAAAAGACTGCAAATCTCAGTGAAATATAGGTTAAAGTACAGTCTATGATAAAAGGGAAATGATGTAGTTCAGAGTACATTTGGTTTTTTAAAATTTACATGTTAAACACATTTGATAATTGCTTCTTCTAACATTAATGCGGGCCTGTACTCATGAGGAGATTTCTCTCTCTCACTCCCTCTCTTTCATACAAATAAACATAACATGCATATCACATACCCACACATAGGTGTAGAAAATTTCACAAATATAGTCTGGTGAGTTTTCAGAAGGTGAAAACACTGAAGTAATCAGCACTCTGTGTGTGTGTATTTTTGATGCCTTATTAAGTCATGAATATGGTTGTGTTTTCAGTGGCCCTCTGGTTATAGTTATTCATCTACTTCTGTCCCCAAAATAGTAAAACTGTTTTCTGATTTCCACTCTTGAATCTTCTTTACATTCAGAGGTTATCATCATTGTGTACTTCTTAGTAATAAACATAACTGCGGCACATTATTCTTTTGCTTAGACCATGTTCAGGCTGTTATTCTCTATTTTTCCTTTTCTTAATTATTTTTTTTTTTTTTTTTTTTTTTACTGACCGGTAACGGGATTGCAACCCTCGGTGTCGCGCCCGTACCGGGGACCGGCAATAGGATCGCAACCCTCGGTGTTGCGCCCACACTGCGCTCAGCCAGTGAGCGGGAACCGGTCTCCACATGGGATCTGAACCCTCGGCGGGAGCGCCGCCGCACTCCCCAGCGGCACTCCCAAGCGGCACTCCCAAGCGGCACACTCTCCAGTGCGTCACCGGGCCGGCCCTAGGTGAATTATTTTTTAACATAAATAATCTGGTATACAATTATTTGAAATTTCTTGCCCTAGATACCCAAACTACTAGCAACTGAAATATTTTTATGACAGGGTTACCAGGTATGTTTTGGAGAGGAAACTATGGCTTGGCTTCATAGATTAGGAGGCTGTAATCTGGTCTTTCTCTTTGGCTGGCTGTGTAACATTATTAAAATCATTAGTCAAATTGTTGAATCTTTTTCTGATAATTTCCTTGTACGTAAACTAGAAAGTCTAGACATCTCACTTCTCTGGATTGTTGTGAGGATCACCTGAGAGTATGTGAATAATGCTTTGAAAATATAAAATATTGTACAGATGAAAAGTTTTAATTCAGACAGATTGAAAAGGGCTTGAGCATTGCTTTCATTGGTAAGTTAGTTACAGAGTGAATGTGTGAAGAGTTTTTATTTCATGATATTCAGGGTTTAATCTACAAGTCTTCTGAACTTTTGTTGTAACAAAAAGTTATTAAATAGAATGTGTGTTCTCTTTAATTGTGGTCCTCCTAGTCTGGGCCTCCCTGCTGCTGTAAAATCAGTATCCTGTTAGGCTACCAAACCACTTTATTTCACCTGTGTGTGTTACTTTCATAGGATTCTGTGAAATCCCCTTCTTTAAGTGTCTTCTACTATGAATTTGCTGTCATTCATTTATCTTTGGACTGTTAAATCAGATGGTCTGCCCATTTTCTTTCATTTTCCTGTATTCCCAAAGATTGATGATGTAGTTTTCCATATGACAGCTGCCTTTTAATTAACACAAAAGCTTAGAAGAGTCACAGGTACTTCATTTGAAGACTTGCTATCGATCTCTTATTCAAATGCATACCACTAAATTTTTTTACTGTGTATGTGCTTCATTAAAGGACAGAAGACAGAATGGGGGAGGGAAACAAACTAAAATTTAATTAGTAACTCTTAATTAAATAGAAATGTAAGAGTTCATTCTTGGATTTCTCAATATTAGGCTGAGTCAAGTTACTATTAAGATGTATAGAATTAGTAATGTGCTGGGTGTTTTTTGGTCACATTTCCTTCATAGCTTCTGTTTACCAGTGCTATAATGTTATATCAACCTGTACTCAGTTTGTTCTCTTTTTTTCTCCTTATTAAGAATGCTCTTCGGGCCGGCCCGGTGGCGCACTGCTACAGTGCGCCGCTTGGGAGTGTGGCGGCCCTCCCGCCGAGGGTTCGGATCCCACA